CTCAGGCCCTTTGAGGAGGCCACGCTATTCGTGAGTCGGCAGGACTATGGGATGAACGACGTCATTCCTCTGTTGCACGTCCTGGAACAAATGCTGTTAACAATGGCTGGTCAGGGTGCGGTAGACGTGGCGCACAGATCTCAACGCCACATGACCCCTGTGGGGCAGGACAGGAAGAAGAGGAGGAGGTAGAGGAGGACATTGGTGCTCAGGAATTATTGAGTGAAATGGGTGGTTATTTTCCACTCAGCGGACAGGAGTGGAGGAGCAGGAGCATCTGGTAGAGGAGGAGGAGGAGAGGAGACAGAGGACCCAGACGCACCGTGGCAGTATGCTGTGGAGATGGAGGCAGGGAGTCCCTCGCATTCCTTGAAATGGCCCATAGCATGCTCGCTTGCTTGCGTAGCGACAGCCGAATAATAACCATCAGACAGAGGGATGACTTTTGGCTGTCCACCTTGTTGGACCCTCGCTACCGTTCAAAAATGGTGGCCTTTTTCACACCTGCTGAGAGGGAGGCCAAAATAACGTACTATAAAAACCACCTATGTAGTCAGTTGGTCTCTGCCTTTCTGCGCCAACGTCCATCCTCAGACACTGTGGGCCCTGTGCGCTCGCGTTCCGCTGCCATGGCAGCAGGGGAGGGGTGGGGTGGTAGGAGCAGTGGCAGCTCCACCAGCAGCAGCTGCCTCAGTCTGCAGTCGATGATGAGTAGCTTTCTTCACCAGCGCAGTGAGGAAACTACTAACCAGCCGCAGCAGCAGCAGCAGCATCAGGTGGACCTGGAGCAGGACCTCAAACAACAGGCTTAGGCCTACTTGGACAGCACCCTGCCAACCGAGGTAGACAATCCCCTTGACTACTGGGCAACGAAACTTGACCTTTGGCCCCAACTAGCTGAATTTGCCCTTGAAAGGCTGTCATGCCCGGCCAGTAGCGTGGCATCGGAGCGCGTGTTTAGTGCGGCAGGAGGTATTGTAACTCCGCGGAGGACACGACTGTCCACCCAAAGTGTGGAGAGACTCACGTTTGTGAAAATGAATCAGGCGTGGATTAGTCTGGATTTCAAACCACCAGTTCCTGACACAACTGACTAAATCCGCCATGAATCATGCCCCAAACATGTGCCACTTTCAGGTCTCCTCACACTGCTGGTGTGTTCCATTTTTTGTCATAGGGTGCTGGCAGATTACGGGCCTCCCATAGCTGCTGCCAGGCCCCTAATCTGCCATGGGCCCCTATACCGCCGCCTCCTCATGCTGCTGCCAGGTCCAGAGTCTCTCATGGGTCCCTGTACGGCCTCCCATTGCTGCTGTCTCCATCGCCACACTCTGCCATGTGCCACTTTCAGGTCTCCTCACACTGCTGGTGTGTTCCATTTTTTGTCATAGGGTGCTGGCAGATTACGGGCCTCCCATAGCTGCTGCCAGGCCCCTAATCTGCCATGGGCCCCTGTACCCGCCTCCTCATGCTGCTGCCAGGTCCAGAGTCTCTCATGGGTCCCTGTACGGCCTCCCATTGCTGCTGTCTCCATCGCCACACTCTGCCATGTGCCACTTTCAGGTCTCCTCACACTGCTGGTGTGTTCCATTTTTTGTCATAGGGTGCTGGCAGATTACGGGCCTCCCATTGCTGCTGCCAGGCCCGTAATCTGCCATGGGCCCCTGTATACCGCTCCTCATGCTCTGCCAGGCTGCTGCCATGGGTCCACCGCCTCCTCAGTCTCTCATGGGTCCCTGTACGGCCTCCCATTGCTGCTGTCTCCATCGCCACACTCTGCCATGTGCCACTTTCAGGTCTCCTCACACTGCTGGTGTGTGTTCCATTTTTTGTCATAGGGTGCTGGCAGTATGGGCTCCCATTGCTGCTGCCAGGCCCCCGTAATCTGCCATGGGCCCCTTACCGCCTCCTCATGCTGCTGCCAGGTCCAGAGTCTCTCATGGGTCCCTGTACGGCCTCCCATTGCTGCTGTCTTCCATGGCCACACTCTGCCATGTGCCACTTTCAGGTCTCCTCACACTGCTGTGTGTTCCATTTTTTGTCATAGGGTGCTGGCAGATTACGGGCCTCCCCCAGCTGCTGCCAGGGCCCCTAATCTGCCATGGGCCCCTGTACCGCCTCCTCATGCTGCTGCCTAGAATGTCCAGTCTCTCATGGGTCCCTGTACGGCCTCCCATTGCTGCTGTCTCCATCGCCACACTCTGCCATGTGCCACTTTCAGGTCTCCTCACACTGCTGTGTGTGTTCCATTTTGTCATAGGGTGCTGGCAGATTACGGGCCTCCCATTGCTGCTGCCAGGCCTGTAATCTGCCATGGGCCCCTGTACCGCCTCCTCATGCTGCTGCTGCCAGGTCCAGAGTGTCTCATGGGTCCCTGTACGGCCTCCCATTGCTGCTGTCTCCATCGCCACACTCTGCCATGTGCCACTTTCAGGTCTCCTCACACTGCTGGTGTGTTCCATTTTTTGTCATAGGGTGCTGGCAGATTACGGGCCTCCCATTGCTGCTGCCAGGCCCGTAATCTGCCATGGGCCCCCCCGTACCGCCTCCTCATGCTGCTGCCAGGTCCAGAGTCTCTCATGGGTCCCTGTACGGCCTCCCATTGCTGCTGCTGTCTCCATCGCCACACTCTGCCATGTGCCACTTTCAGGTCTCCTCACACTGCTGGTGTGTTCCATTTTTTGTCATAGGGTGCTGGCAGATTACGGGCCTCCCATTGCTGCTGCCAGGCCCGTAATCTGCCATGGGCCCCCTGTACCCCGCCTCCTCATGCTGCTGCCAGGTCCAGAGTCTCTCATGGGTCCCTGTACGGCCTCCCATTGCTGCTGTCTCCATCGCCACACTCTGCCATGTGCCACTTTCAGGTCTCCTCACACTGCTGGTGTGTTCATTTTTTGTCATAGGGTGCTGGCAGATTACGGGCCTCCCATTGCTGCTGCCAGGCCCGTAATCTGCCATGGGCCCCTGTACCGCCTCCTCATGCTGCTGCCAGGTCCAGAGTCTCTCATGGGTCCCTGTACGGCCTCCCATTGCTGCTGTCTCCATCGCCACACTCTGCCATGTGCCACTTTCAGGTCTCCTCACACTGCTGGTGTGTTCCATTTTTTGTCATAGGGTGCTGGCAGATTACGGGCCTCCCATTGCTGCTGCCAGGCCCGTAATCTGCCATGGGCCCCTGTACCGCCTCCTCATGCTGCTGCCAGGTCCAGAGTCTCTCATGGGTCCCTGTACGGCCTCCCATTGCTGCTGTCTCCATCGCCACACTCTGCCATGTGCCACTTTCAGGTCTCCTCACACACTGCTGTGTGTGTTTTTTTTGTCATAGGGTGCTGGCAGATTACGGGCCTCCCATTGCTGCTGCCAGGCCCGTAATCTGCCATGGGCCCCTGTACCGCCTCCTCATGCTGCTGCCAGGTCCAGAGTGTCTCATGGGTCCCTGTACGGCCTCCCATTGCTGCTGTCTCCATCGCCACACTCTGCCATGTGCCACTTTCAGGTCTCCTCACACACTGCTGGTGTGTTCCATTTTTTGTCATAGGGTGCTGGCAGATTACGGGCCTCCCATTGCTGCTGCCAGGCCGTAATCTGCCATGGGCCCCTGTACCGCCCTCCTCATGCTGCTGCCAGGTCCAGAGTCTCTCATGGGTCCCTGTACGGCCTCCCATTGCTGCTGTCTCCATCGCCACACTCTGCCATGTGCCACTTTCAGGTCTCCTCACACTGCTGGTGTGTTCCATTTTTGTCATAGGGGGTGCTGGCAGATTACGGGCCTCCCATTGCTGCTGCCAGGCCCGTAATCTGCCATGGGCCCCCGTACCGTACCGCCTCCTCATGCTGCTGCTGCCAGGTCCAGAGTCTCTCATGGGTCCCCTGTACGGCCTCCCATTGCTGCTGCTGTCTCCATCGCCACACTCTGCCATGTGCCACTTTCAGGTCTCCTCACACTGCTGGTGTGTTCCATTTTGTCATCATAGGGGTGCTGGCAGATTACGGGCCTCCCATTGCTGCTGCCAGGCCCGTAATCTGCCATGGGCCCCTGTACCGCCTCCTCATGCTGCTGCCAGGTCCCAGAGTCTCTCATGGGTCCCTGTACGGCCTCCCATTGCTGCTGTCTCCATCGCCACACTCTGCCATGTGCCACTTTCAGGTCTCCTCACACTGCTGGTGTGTTCCATTTTTTGTCATAGGGTGCTGGCAGATTACGGGCCTCCCATTGCTGCTGCCAGGCCCGTAATCTGCCATGGGCCCCCCTGTACCCGCCTCCTCATGCTGCTGCCAGGTCCAGAGTGTCTCATGGGTCCCTGTACGGCCTCCCATTGCTGCTGTCTCCATCGCCACACTCTGCCATGTGCCACTTGCCACTTTCAGGTCTCTCACACTGCTGTGTGTGTTCCATCCATTTTGTCATAGGGTGCTGGCAGATTACGGGCCTCCCATTGCTGCTGCCAGGCCCGTAATCTGCCATGGGCCCCTGTACCGCCTCCTCATGCTGCTGCCAGGTCCAGAGTCTCTCATGGGTCCCTGTACGGCCTCCCATTGCTGCTGTCTCCATCGCCACACTCTGCCATGTGCCACTTTCAGGTCTCCCTCACACTGCTGTGTTTCCATTTTTTGTCATAGGGTGCTGGCAGATTACGGGCCTCCCATTGCTGCTGCCAGGCCGTAATCTGCCATGGGCCCCTGTACCCCGCCTCCTCATGCTGCTGCCAGGTCCAGAGTCTCTCATGGGTCCCTGTACGGCCTCCCATTGCTGCTGTCTCCATCGCCACACTCTGCCATGTGCCACTTTCAGGTCTCCTCACACTGCTGGTGTGTTCCATTTTTTGTCATAGGTGCTGGCAGATTACGGGCCTCCCATTGCTGCTGCCAGGCCCGTAATCTGCCATGGGCCCCTGTACCGCCTCCTCATGCTGCTGCCAGGTCCAGAGTCTCTCATGGGTCCCTGTACGGCCTCCATTGCTGCTGTCTCCATCGCCACACTCTGCCATGTGCCACTTTCAGGTCTCCTCACACTGCTGGTGTGTTCCATTTTTTGTCATAGGGTGCTGGCAGATTACGGGCCTCCCATTGCTGCTGCCAGGCCCGTAATCTGCCATGGGCCCCTGTACCGCCTCCTCATGCTGCTGCCAGGTCCAGAGTCTCTCATGGGTCCCTGTACGGCCTCCCATTGCTGCTGTCTCCATCGCCACACACTCTGCCATGTGCCACTTTCAGGTCTCCTCACACTGCTGCTGGTGTGTTCCATTTTTTGTCATAGGGTGCTGGCAGATTACGGGCCTCCCATTGCTGCTGCCAGGCCCGTAATCTGCCATGGGCCCCTGTACCGCCTCCTCCTCATGCTGCTGCCAGGTCCAGAGTCTCTCATGGGTCCCTGTACGGCCTCCCATTGCTGCTGTCTCCATCGCCACACTCTGCCATGTGCCACTTTCAGGTCTCCTCACACTGCTGTGTGTGTTCCATTTTTTTGTCATAGGGTGCTGGCAGATTACGGGCCTCCCATTGCTGCTGCCAGGCCCGTAATCTGCCATGGCCCCCCTGTCTGCCTCCCATGCTGCCAGGCCCCAGTATCCATGGGTCCCCGCCTCCTCATGCTGCTGCCAGGTCCAGAGTCTCTCATGGGTCCCTGTACGGCCTCCCATTGCTGCTGTCTCCATCGCCACACTCTGCCATGTGCCACTTTCAGGTCTCCTCACACTGCTGGTGTGTTCCATTTTTTGTCATAGGGTGCTGGCAGATTACGGGCCTCCCATTGCTGCTGCCAGGCCCGTAATCTGCCATGGGCCCCTGTACCCCGCCTCCTCATGCTGCTGCCAGGTCCAGAGTCTCTCATGGGTCCCTGTACGGCCCCCCATTGCTGCTGTCTCCATCGCCACACTCTGCCATGTGCCACTTTCAGGTCTCCTCACACTGCTGTGTGTTTTTTTTTTTGTCATAGGGTGCTGGCAGATTACGGGCCTCCCATTGCTGCTGCCAGGCCCGTAATCTGCCATGGGCCCCTGTGTACCGCCTCCTCATGCTGCTGCCAGGTCCCAGAGTCTCTCATGGGTCCCTGTACGGCCTCCCATTGCTGCTGTCTCCATCATCGCCACACTCTGCCATGTGCCACTTTCAGGTCTCCTCACACTGCTGTGTGTGTTCCATTTTTTTTGTCATAGGGTGCTGGCAGATTACGGGCCTCCCATTGCTGCCAGGCCCTGCTGCCAGGCCCCTGTAATCTGCCATGGGCCCCCTGTATGGGTCCCCCGCCTCCTCATGCTGCTGCCAGGTCCAGAGTGTCTCATGGGTCCCTGTACGGCCGGCCTCCCATTGCTGCTGTCTCCATCGCCACACTCTGCATGTGCCACTTTCAGGTCCTCCTCACACTGCTGTGTTCCATTTTGTGTCATCCATTTTTTGTCATGGGTGCTGGCAGCCACATCTGCTGCCATTACGGGGCCTCCCACTGCTGTGCTGTTCCTTTTTTGTCATAGGGTGCTGCTGCCAGGCCCGTAATCTGCCATGGGCCCCTGCCATGGGCCCCCGCCCCTCCTCCTCATGCTGCTGCCAGGTCCAGTGTCTCTCATGGGTCCCTGTACGGCCTCCCATTGCTGCTGTCTCCATCGCCACACACTCCATGTGCCACTTTCAGGTCTCCTCACACTGCTGGTGTGTTCCATTTTTTGTCATAGGGTGCTGGCAGATTACGGGCCTCCCATTGCTGCTGCCAGGCCCGTAATCTGCCATGGGCCCCCTGTACCCCGCCCCGCCTCCTCATGCATGCTGCCAGGTCCAGGTCCAGAGTCTCTCATGGGTCCCTGTACGGCCTCCCATTGCTGCTGTCTCCATCGCCACACTCTGCCGTGCCCCACTTTCAGGTCTCCTCACACTGCTGGTGTGTTCCATTTTTTGTCATAGGGTGCTGGCAGATTACGGGCCTCCCATTGCTGCTGCCAGGCCCGTAATCTGCCATGGGCCCCCCTGTACCGCCTCCTCATGCTGCTGCCAGGTCCAGAGTCTCTCATGGGTCCCTGTACGGCCTCCCATTGCTGCTGTCTCCATCGCCACACTCTGCCATGTGCCACTTTCAGGTCTCCACACACACTGCTGGTGTTCCATTTTTTGTCATAGGGTGCTGGCAGATTACGGGCCTCCCATTGCTGCTGCCAGCCCGTAATCTGCCATGGGCCCCTGTACCGCCTCCTCATGCTGCTGCCAGGTCCAGAGTGTCTCATGGGTCCCTGTACGGCCTCCCATTGCTGCTGTCTCCATCGCCACACTCTGCCATGTGCCACTTTCAGGTCTCCTCACACTGCTGGTGTGTGTTCCATTTTTTGTCATAGGGTGCTGGCAGATTACGGGCCTCCCATTGCTGCTGCCAGGCCCGTAATCTGCCATGGGCCCCCTGTACCGCCTCCTCATGCTGCTGCCAGGTCCAGAGTCTCTCATGGGTCCCTGTACGGCCTCCCATTGCTGCTGTCTCCATCGCCACACTCTGCCATGTGCCACTTTCAGGGTCCTCCTCACACTGCTGGTGTTCCATTTTTTTTGTCATAGGGTGCTGGCAGATTACGGGCCTCCCATTGCTGCTGCCAGGCCCGTAATCTGCCATGGGCCCCTGTACCGCCTCCTCATGCTGCTGCCAGGTCCAGAGTCTCTCATGGGTCCCTGTACGGCCTCCCATTGCTGCTGTCTCCATCGCCACACTCTGCCATGTGCCACTTTCAGGTCTCCTCACACTGCTGTGTGTTCCATTTTTTGTCATAGGGTGCTGGCAGATTACGGGCCTCCCCCATTGCTGCTGCCAGGCCCGTAATCTGCCATGGGCCCCTGTACCGCCGCCTCCTCATGCACAGGTCCCAGGTCCAGAGTGTCTCATGGGTCCCTGTACGGCCTCCCATTGCTGCTGTCTCCATCGCCACACTCTGCCATGTGCCACTTTCAGGTCTCCTCACACTGCTGGTGTGTTTCCATTTTTTGTCATAGGGTGCTGGCAGATTACGGGCCTCCCATTGCTGCTGCCAGGCCCGTAATCTGCCATGGGCCCCTGTACCGCCTCCTCATGCTGCTGCCAGGTCCAGAGTCTCTCATGGGTCCCTGTACGGCCTCCCATTGCTGCTGTCTCCATCGCCACACTCTGCCATGTGCCACTTTCAGGTCTCCTCACACTGCTGGTGTGTTCATTTTTTGTCATAGGGTGCTGGCAGATTACGGGCCTCCCATTGCTGCTGCCAGGCCCGTAATCTGCCATGGGCCCCTGTACCGCCTCCTCATGCTGCTGCCAGGTCCAGAGTCTCTCATGGGTCCCTGTACGGCCTCCCATTGCTGCTGTCTCCATCGCCACACTCTGCCTGCCATGTGCCACTTTCAGGTCTCCTCACACTGCTGGTGTGTTCCATTTTTTGTCATAGGGTGCTGGCAGATTACGGGCCTCCCATTGCTGCTGCCAGGCCTGTAATCTGCCATGGGCCCCTGTACCCCCGCCTCCTCATGCTGCTGCCAGGTCCAGAGTGTCTCATGGGTCCCTGTACGGCCTCCCATTGCTGCTGTCTCCATCGCCACACTCTGCCATGTGCCACTTTCAGGTCTCCTCACACTGCTGGTGTGTTCCATTTTTTGTCATAGGGTGCTGGCAGATTACGGGCCTCCCATGCTGCTGCTGCCAGGCCCGTAATCTGCCATGGGCCCCTGTACCGCCTCCTCATGCTGCTGCCAGGTCCAGAGTCTCTCATGGGTCCCTGTACGGCCTCCCATTGCTGCTGTCTCCATCGCCACACTCTGCCATGTGCCACTTTCAGGTCTCCTCACACTGCTGGTGTGTTCCATTACGGGCCTCCCATTGCTGCTGCCAGGCCCGTAATCTGCCATGGGCCCCTGTACCCCGCCTCCTCATCATGCTGCTGCCAGGTCCCCAGAGTCTCTCATGGGTCCCTGTACGGCCTCCCATTGCTGCTGTCTCCATCGCCACACTCTGCCATGTGCCACTTTCAGGTCTCCTCACACTGCTGGTGTGTTCCATTTTTTGTCATAGGGTGCTGGCAGATTACGGGCCTCCCATTGCTGCTGCCAGGCCCGTAATCTGCCATGGGCCCCTGTACCGCCTCCTCATGCTGCTGCCAGGTCCAGAGTCTCTCATGGGTCCCCTGTACGGCCTCCCATTGCTGCTGTCTCCATCGCCACACTCTGCCATGTGCCACTTTCAGGTCTCCTCACACTGCTGGTGTGTTCCATTTTTTTGTCATAGGGTGCTGGCAGATTACGGGCCTCCCATTGCTGCTGCCAGGCCCGTAATCTGCCATGGGCCCCCCTGTACCGCCTCCTCATGCTGCTGCCAGGTCCACAGTGTCTCATGGGTCCCTGTACGGCCTCCCATTGCTGCTGTCTCCATCGCCACACTCTGCCATGTGCCACTTTCAGGTCTCCTCACACTGCTGGTGTGTTCCATTTTTTGTCATAGGGTGCTGGCAGATTACGGGCCTCCCATTGCTGCTGCCAGGCCCGTAATCTGTCATGGGCCCCCGTACCGACTCCTCATGCTGTGACGTTGCAACAAGGTGGAATTCAACCCTACATATGTTAGACCGCCTTTACGAACAGCGAAAGGCCATCACAGATTCCTGATGTTACAAGCGTATAAAGGTACTCCCCTTTGTAACTTAGATGTCAGCCATTGGCAGCTCATGCGTGACACCTGCCGCTTGCTCAGGCCCTTTGAGGAGGCCACGCTATTCGTGAGTCGGCAGGACTATGGGATGAACGACGTCATTCCTCTGTTGCACGTCCTGGAACAAATGCTGTTAACAATGGCTGGTCAGGGTGCGGTAGACGTGGTGCACAGATCTCAACGCCACATGACCCCTGTGGGGGCAGGACAGGAAGAAGAGGAGGAGGTAGAGGAGGACATTGGTGCTCAGGAATTATTGAGTGAAATGGGTGGTTTTTCCACTCAGCGGACAAGAGTGGAGGAGCAGGAGCATCTGGTAGAGGAGGAGGAGGAGGAGACAGAGGACCCAGACGCACCGTGGCAGTATGCTGTGGAGATGGAGGCAGGGAGTCCCTCGCATTCCTTTGCACAAATGGCCCATAGCATGCTCGCTTGCTTGCGTAGCGACAGCCGAATAATAACCATCAGACAGAGGGATGACTTTTGGCTGTCCACCTTGTTGGACCCTCGCTACCGTTCAAAAATGGTGGCCTTTTTCACACCTGCTGAGAGGGAGGCCAAAATAACGTACTATAAAAACCACCTATGTAGTCAGTTGGTCTCTGCCTTTCTGCGCCAACGTCCATCCTCAGACTGTGGGCCCTGTGCGCTCACGTTCCGGTGCCATGGCAGCAGGGGAGGGGTGGGGTGGTAGGAGCAGTGGCAGCTCCACCAGCAGCGGCTGCCTCAGTCTGCAGTCGATGATGAGTAGCTTTCTTCACCAGCGCAGTGAGGAAACTACTAACCCAGCAGCCGCAGCAGCAGCAGCAGCATCAGGTGGACCTGGAGCAGGACCTCAAAACAACAGGCTTGGGCCTACTTGGACAGCACCCTGCCAACCGAGGTAGACAATCCCCTTGACTACTGGGCAACGAAACTTGACCTTTGGCCCCAACTAGCTGAATTTGCCCTTGAAAGGCTGTCATGCCCGGCCAGTAGCGTGGCATCGTAGCGCGTGTTTAGTGCGGCAGGAGGTATTGTAACTCCGCGGAGGACACGACTGTCCACCCAAAGTGTGGAGAGACTCACGTTTGTGAAAATGAATCAGGCGTGGATTAGTCTGGATTTCAAACCACCAGTTCCTGACACAACTGACTAAATCCGCCATGAATCATGCACCAAACATGTGCCACTTTCAGGTCTCCTCACACTGCTGGTGTGTTCCATTTTTTGCCATAGGGTGCTGGCAGATTACGGGCCTCCCATTGCTGCTGCCAGGCCCGTAATCTGCCATGGGCCCCCGTACCGCCTCCTCATGCTGCTGCCAGGTCCAGAGTGTGTCATGGGTCCCTGTACGGCCTCCCATTGCTGCTGTCTCCATCGCCACACTCTGCCATGTGCCACTTTCAGGTCTCCTCACACTGCTGGTGGGTTCCATTTTTGTCATAGGGTGCTGTATGGCCTCCCATTGCTGCTGCCTCCACCGCCACACTGTGGCTCCACACTCTGGTTTTGGCCCCGTGACTGCCCAAATGAGTGAAGTGTGCGGTGATTCTAAGATCGACGGCACTCATCTGCATGTCATACTGACTGACAGTATTATTTCTCTTCCCCAGCAGACTCCAAGGGCATTTAAATTAAAGGTACAGTGTTCTGCACTAATATGAAGGCTCTCTGAAGCCTAGAAACACCCTTTTATAAGTTAAATTCGCAGCGAATATATTCGCATCGAATCAAATTTATTCCTCGAATTCGCCGAATCAGCCGAATCGAATTTTTGAATACTTCGCTCATCTCTAATTACAGTAGTACGGGCGCAGAGGCTGCACCACTGGAGATACTAACCTGACTGGCCACCAAGGTCCCAGAGGCGTAAACTGGTGCAGCTGTTCAAGAAATGGATGCAACCAGAAAGGTTAGGCCCTCAAATGGAGGAGCGAGTCATGGTGGGCCGATACCTGCATTTTCTGCCAGATGACCTGCAGGGCTGGGTAAGCCATGGGGTCCTTACAACAGCTTACAAGCTGGTGGAGTCAGTCAAAAGCTACAAAGTGGAGGAGGATCAGCCCGGGTCTGCCAAGCATCGGGAACTCACACCAAGGGCAGTGAGGCAAGCTGCAGTGCCTAGGAAGGAAGCCCTGCCAGACACTGGAACCTGCAACCCTGCCTCATCTTCCTTAAACCAATGGAGTTTGGTCCCTGTAACAAGAATGGGGGACGTAGAGTGTTGGAGGTTCCAGTCCTGAGGACATACCATATACCACACAGTACCTACTTCAAGGGGAGCCCATGGAGTGTGAGATTGGCAAAAGAGCCTCTTTCTGTGTCCAAAGAGCATGAGGACTCTCTGCGGTACTTTTTGTGAGGCAGGAGATTTCATCTAGTGTCAGACCATGTCCCATTGACCTGGATGAGACAAAACAAACAGGCCAATGCCCGGGTGACTGGATGTATCATTTCTATCTAGGAGTTCAACTTTGTAGTAGAGCACTGACCCGGGAGACAGCTTCAAAATACCGATGCCCTCTCCTGAGTACATTGTGTGATATCATATGGTGCCACCAATACCTCCGTGTTGAGGTGGGGGGAGGATATGTACATGATGCCAGGGATGGGTCCTGAATGGGATATTCTGGTTGTGGTTCCTTAAAGGGTGATAGAATGGTGTACTCAGGGGTCCTGCCCGTGACTATAGGTACACCAGTCCCTACACGGTTAAGCAGCCTCCTAATGCTAGGTGTGATGGTGTAGGAGTTAGACTGTGCTAACATTGGGGTAATTATGTTTGTGCTGGACTTTTGTGTTATGTCTTCATGTCTTCTGGAATTAAGTCAACTCTGTGTTGCTGATGAAAGTGCTGTTTTGCTTGCTTTGAAAGAGAAACACCTTTTATGGTTACGATAAATTGCTTTGCACATGGTCCTGAGGTGTTGTACCCCTGAACGTAAAGAATAAATAAAAAAAATACTATATATATATATATATATATATACAGTGGGGATTGAAAGTTTGGGCACCCCAGCTAGAAATTTGTAATAATGTGCATAAAGAAGCCAAGGAAAGATGGAAAAATCTCCAAAAGGCATCAAATTACAGATTAGACATTCTTATAATATGTCAACAAAAGTTAGATTTTATTTCCATCATTTACACTTTCAAAATAACAGAAAACAAAAAAATGGTGTCTGCAAAAGTTTGGGCACCCTGCAGAGTTAATATCTTGTACTGCCCCCTTTGACAAGTATCACAGCTTGTAAACGCTTTTGTAGCCAGCCAAGAGTCTTTCAATTCTTGTTTGAGGTATCTTTGCCCATTCTTCCTTACAAAAGTCTTCCGGTTCTTTGAGACTTCTGGGCTGTCTGTCACGTACTGCTCTTTTAAGGTCTATCCATAGATTTTCAATTATGTTGAGGTCAGGAGATTGTGAAGGCCATGGTAAAACCTTCAGTTTACGCCTCTTGATGTAATCTCCCGTGGATTTCGAGGTGTGTTTAGGATCATTATCCATTTGTAGAAGCCATCCTCTCTTTAACTTCAGCTTTTTCACAGATGGCATCAAGTTACCATCCAAAATTTGCTGAAATTTTATTGAATCCATTTTTCCTTCTACTCGTGAGATGTTCCCTGTGCCACTGGCTGCAACACAACCCCAAAGCATGATTGATCCAACCCCATGCTTAACAGTTGGACAGAGGTTCTTTTCATTAAATTCTGTGCCCCTTCTTCTCCAAACGTACCTTTGCTCATTCCGGCCAAAAAGTTCCATTTTAACC